TCCTGTGTCCATTTAACTTATATTCTCTCTGTCAGAGTGAAAAGTTCTGGCGACGATAGTACAGAAGCACAATGAATGCAAAAGAGCATCTATGAGGGGCCAGACCAGCTGCAACAGCAATGAAATACTGGAATACACTCCTGATCAAAAATATTATGCCTCAGTGGCACTTTGACACATCAGCCAAAGCAATCGCTCTTCAAATTCAGCAGTTAATCCTAATTAAGCTCCATGATTCTGGTTTTCTGGATATAGTTATGTTGACTTTATCTTTGATTTCTCTCTTTTTTTTGTCTCTTCTAGTCTTGTTTGCTATTTGGAGTTGAATGTGGAATTTCAGGCCACAAGAAAATGTGTGTAACAAAAGCAAAGAGCGACGTTTGTGGCTTGGCGGTTAAGGGCCTGTGTGCAGACAATGAGCGATCTTTCAAGCTGACTTCCCAGTTAATCAGGGAAGATGGTCCCTCTGCTCTCAGTTATTCCATTTGCATTGCTGCTGAATGTTGTTTCTAAATGTTGCCTTTTCACAGGTTTGCTCTTGATGTGTGACAACATCAAATCTTGGCATTTAACAGAAAGGCTCGCCGACAGTGCTCATCTTATCCAACCACCACAAATATACATGTCACAAACTTCTGCTGCAGTTGTCCATATAGAGCAAAACATGTACAAAGAAATACAAAGCACATGGGCAGCAGTTTCGTAAAGTTGAGCTGAGACATGCATTTGATCGACTGACTCTTCCAACAGAGGCTGATGAATCAAAACACAGAAATAAAACCTTAGTGGGAACCATCAGGAAAAAAACTGCCTTCAAATTCTCTACACAGAATGAAACAGTGGTGCTTCAAGGTAACGACGAGTGACCAATCAAAAGAGAAAAATCGTGAATAAATGAGAGAAAAAAGTACAAATGTACCGAGGCCTAAATGGTATGAATGAGTGCGACTCGTGTGCCGTGGCCTGTCCCAGCTACATTTCTACCAAAGACTGTGGAAAAACTTAAAACGCTCTCTAGCACCATCACTGTAACACCACATCACAGGGTGTTTCATAGAGGTGCCATTCCTCCCCCCAGCAGTGTCGCCACCTTACTAAAACACTTTGGACTGATTTTTCAGTTGCCACCAGCTGATAGGCTCTGTGGTTAAAAACACGCCTTAGCATCAGCTGAGCCCTGACACATCCAGCTGCCAGACAAGAGCAAAGAAATAAGGAAATAACAAATAAAACCCAAAACATTATTCACCTTAGAGTCATCAAATACACATTTGTGCAAATTTTCTTGATCCTTTTACTTTCTTTAGAGTCACCAAACCATCTAAACAGCATAAAATTGCTATAATTTGCTGTTGAGTCTGATGGAGCCTGTTCACAGGGAAATGCAGTGAGATGAGACAGACACACAATCAGCAACCCTGAATTTGTCAAACAGGCTCTTTTTCCATCCTTTTTGCTGACTGAAATGCTACCAGCAAATACATGAAGAATGTGACAACATGTTATCAGAGCACTGATGAACTATCATCGAAGAAGAAGGAGGAGGTAACAAGACTTTACCAAAGCACAGCTCTGATTTAGCTTTATGGCTTTGACCACCGCAGCTTTAAGGTAGTGGAGCTGGACCAGGAGACAGCAGGTGACAGAAAGCTGAGGCTAAACTCACAGTGAGCTGCATAAAACTACAGTCAAGTGGGACAATTCTCTTCCATTGTTTATGTTTTCAAGCTTAAATCAAACTTTGCTCTTACTGTGGAGAAAAGTGGACTTTCTCATGAAGAAGATTCATTAAACGTTGATCAAGACATCGGCAAGAAATTTGGTGGAAGCAACAATTTATCTCATAATGCAAATTTCCAACTCTGTACTTTTACTCTTAAATTTTGCTAGAACAGCTTTGCAGCTTATTCGCGTTGCCCCGCCCCTCGGTCACCTGCTGGCTGCAATGAGACATTTTAGCCCCTCAGATGAGACGAACATACGATGGACATAATCACAACAAATGTTGGAACAGAGAGGTGAGGTGGGAATGTGAAACCATTTAGCACTCACACACAGGTGACATCATAGAGGTATTCCAAGGAAAGTAATGGATTACTAAATTACTCGTTACTTTCTGCTTTTTTGGTGTGTTTTTTCTTTCTTTCTATCCAAATAACTGAAGAAACTTTGTCACAAGAGTAACAACATAATTGTGCCGGTCATGTAATTACTGAATTTGTAATGCGATTACATTACAGTTATATAATTATGCTTTACACCCCGACACGTGCCTTGGTGATACTGGTTGCCAACAGCAAGGAGAGTTTGTTTTCAATCGTGGTTTAGCTCAGTTTAGGGATGAAATATTCCTTTTCACAAATCTAACCCTGCCTTTTGAGAAATTACACTCACAAGTGGATTTAAATGTGACGTGGAAGGATCCTGACCACGCAGCCATACGTGACAAGTTACAGCTGCCACTGCTGGATGCATTTAAAAGAGGCCAAAGGCAGCGTTTGATGCCCTGGGAATGAGGATGATCGTCAGGAGTTAACCATAAAACCAATCAGGGTCTGACCTTCACTAGGAAAGAATTTTATTTGCTTCATTATATTTCAGCAGAAATGACCTTTTGCTTGATGTCCTCCCCATGTTTACCTTCTGCTTCCCATCCCTTACAATTCAACCTGAGCTCACTCAGTTTTACAAACAGTAACAGAACCAACAGGAAAATCCACAAGATTTACTTTTTCATCTGTTATATGAGACCAGAGAAAATGAAATCTAAGCCAAAGAAATCTGCTTGTAAAAGTTACAGAAGTGGCAAATTAAGAAAGGCCTCGCCAAATGAGCAAGGAAACTGCTTTACAAGGCCGATAATGACCACATGGAGCAAACAGTGGCTCACTACAAGCAACGGGGAACCACAAATGCTCAGCCCGCAGTCAGCTGTCATCTTGCTGTGTGAGGGCCCCGGAGGCGTTCAGAAGATAAGGGCCGGTGTAAAAGGATCCTACGTGGACACTGCTGCAGCTCACTTGTTCCTTAACCTCAGAATGAATAACAGATGTTCAGGATCTCGAGGAGGAATTTTCTTTCCTGTATAACAAAGCCCTTGAAGCAGCTTGCTCATGCAATATAAGTGTGTATGTGTGATAGAGGACTCTGTGTGTAGGGTGCTAGGGGAGGGCGAGGGGGTATATTACAGAGCTCCTCACACACAAACTCCCCTCCCACTTTGATCTCAGTGAACCAAGTTGTCCTCATGAGTTTCTTCTCTGCCTGGGGAGAAACTCCTCTGCCTTTTTTCTACACACATCTAATTATTAACAAAACGAACACAAATAAAGCCAGACTTACCCTCTCTATCTACTTCACCAGCCTGTAAAAGAGAGAAAAGAGCTCGTTAAATGCGGCACACGCCAGAAGGAAATGATAGATCAGAGTCTGAGATGTCCAGCGTAACAACACAACAGCTCTGGAGTTTTCTGTGAGCCGCGCTGCTTGTAAAAAGTCCGAAAATACCTGTTTTACATCCAAAGGGCAAAACTCAGACGTCTGCAGTGTCAACGTGTGTTTCACAGAAGTGTTCAAGTTTACAGAGCCGAAAGTTTAGAGCCTTGTAGTTGTGTCGTTCCACTTTTTCTCCGCTTTACAGCTGAATTCGTTTAATATTGACGGGATTCAGTCAAACTGCGCGTATTTATTTATTTATATGCGTAAAAGGAGGCAAAAGCGAAGCGGTGCAGAGACTTACCTTGGCAGCTGAAGTCAGTCCTACAAGTAGTAAAGCTAGTGACAGGACAGCCATCACGAGTCTTAAATGACAAAAAACAAAAAACGTTATCCCAACGTGAAATTAAAATAAGGGGGAAAAAGAGACAAAAATCTTTACGCAAACGTGACCCGGCTCATTCAAAACTTATCAAACTGGATGTGCGGCCAGTGCCTCGGTCTTAGGTAAAAATCAGAAAAAACAAGAAGCAACATAAAGTAGTTAAAGTTTCATTAAAGCAGGAGTGAAGCGAGTTGCGACACTTTTGTCATTCAGTCAGTGTTTTTCTGATGACTGAGTTTCGTGAAAGTTTTGGTGAAGTTAGTAGGACACCCCTCTCTGCCGTGACCGGACAGAGCCGCAGTGTGTAGCTCTTGCAACCTGGCACCAGGCTCCGCTGGCTAATAAACGCAAGACCAGCCCTGTGTGACGTCACTATGTGAGTCCGAACACATGGAGGGACAGGAGGAGGAGGAGGATGAAGAACCCAACCCCCAAACCCCTCCCTCATCTCACCACACACAAGTGAGCGACTCAACAAACAACAAGAAACCTATGAACTCTAACGGTGCCAGCAAAAATCCCGCGAAGAAGAATTACAGGTCAGCGCAGGATCAGGTATTTATTTAAAATCAATTTCTTGTTCTTTAGTGGCGCCTACCGTGGGTCACCGAGAACCCACGGAGGACCAGAGGAAACACGTGGAAGAAAGTAGTTGTATAAATAGATTCTCCTGATTGTTCTAATACGGATGGTATTAGATGAAAAGTGGCTCCAAAGTGGGAACAAATACTCTTCACTTAGATAAACTGCTGCTTAAGTGATAACTTCAATTAAAACTACACATTGTGCAGGATCCTATTCATATTATTGGATTATAATTAATGACTTTCATGTGTGGAAAACGTCTAATACTGAATTATATATTCTGGATTTAGATTCTTTTAAAACTGTTGCAGTCCTGGGTTTAAACCCACTGACATGCATGCTTGGTTAATGGGCTGATTCACCCACCCACAGTGTGAGTGTGGATGTCAGTGGCTGTCCGTCTCTCTGTGTTAGTCCTGGCAGATGTGCCCTGCCCTGCCTGTGACAGCTGGGATAGGCTCCAGGCCAACCGTGACTCTGGACTGGATTAGCAGAGAAAACTGCAAAGCAAAAAAAGCAACTAGAGCTTTAGAATAAATATTATGTTGTACAAAGTACAGCATATTCAACATTTCATGGAGTAGGATTTTTAAATAATGAACTATATGGACAGCTGTGTCGGGCCAAACCTTTTAATATTTGAGTGTTTTCAGTCCATTTTTCCACAGGAGGATGACACAAAGCGTACCCTCCTACACATCAGCTGCAAGTGATATCAGTGGAAGTGTTTAAGAACCACAGCAACTCAGACTCAGTGAAGTGGCAGATCGTGTAAAGTCACAGAGCAGGGTTGCTGAGAGACGTAGCGCATGACAGTCGCTCTGCTGATTCGATAGCTGCAGAATTCCAAACCTCCATCCATTTTCTCCTGGCTGTGACAGGAGAGAGGCATCCTGGACACGTCTGCATCAGAGTCAACACAAGGGGACAAACAACCATTCGCATCTATGTTCAATTTAAAGTCACATATTAACCTGACACCGTGCACGTTTTAGGAGGAAGCTGGATTATCCAGAGAGATACTGGGAGAACATACACACTCCACACAGAAAGGCTCCAGACTGGATTTGAACCAACGACCTTCTTGCTGTTGCTAAACACAGTACCTCCTCTGGCATAAACCTCAGCACACAAACTCTGCATCAGCAGCTTCATGGCATGGGTTTGCATGGAGAAGCAGTTTCTGTAGGTTTACTATGCAAGTGGCCAGTACTTTTGTCTGTATAGTATAAATACAAGTACTGTATAATAAAACTACATTTCTTATGTGCAAAGATATTGAGCAGTATGAGATTAACATTGGTGAGTGGGGCTCCACAGAACAGGGATGCAGAGTAACACAACTCAATGGACAGCCAAGTAGAGACTGGACCTTGGACAAATACAGCCAGAGGGATCACACCTGCTGGTTAGTGAAGTCTGGATATGGAGCCTTGAAATGATCTTAGTGTTCTGATAATAATGGTTTTCCATTCTAAAAAGCAGAATAATCAAAATGGACACAAAATGAAATTAAGTTTTATTTAATGTGACCCAGAATGAGTGACTGAGCCCATAAACTGCTCAGGGCCATTTTTCCTGTGCACTTCCATAGGACTGGAAATCTTTTTGCATCCATAGTTATTGCCTCCTAGTGGTTATTAACAGAGTCCACAGGTTTAAGGACTTTAGCTGGCTTCACTTTTCAGTTTTCTTTGAAGCTACAGCTGCATTTATAGTGTCTATAACCTGATTTGGTGGTGGTCAGAGGGCCCGGTGGCGCCAGTGTCCGGCAGCCTCGCCTCTGTCAGTGCGCCCCAGGGCAGCTGTGGCTACAATGTAGCTTCATCACCAGTGTGTGAATGTGTGTGTGAATGTGTGTGTGACTGGGTGAATGACTGAATGTAGTGTAAAGCGCTATACAAATACAGGCCATTTACCATTTTTGTTTCTGAGAAAAATGAGATCCACATAAGAGGACATTCGTTTTAAATGTCGATAGAACAGTAGCAGTAAAACGTCCTTGTAAGTGGATATCAGGCACTTGTAGAGCAAAATTTAGTATTTTGGTCTAGACATCCCAAAATGTGATGTCCACATATGTGGACGCCAGGTCCTAGGAGGTGAAGACATTCCTGCAGTTTAACTAATTGGTGTGTGTTATCTGGCTTCATGGATAGATAAAGGTGGCTGTCATCTGCATAGCAGTGAAAGTGTATCTTATGCCTCCTAATGATACTGCCTAGGGGAAGCATGCAATTCTCCTTTGTGTGTGAAGAAGACTCCACATTTTTATGAAAAAGTGGAGTCTATTAGAATTTCTAAAAACTAAAAAAGTTTCACAAAGTCACATGAGTATGTAAATGGTTCTAGTGCAGTGGTTCTTAACCTGGGTTCGATCGAACCCTAGGGGTTCGGTGAGTCGGATTTTAGGGGTTCAGCAGAGCCTCCACCGTCACATGCATGGCTCATTTTGTGCACCAGTAAAAAACATATCTATCTATGTCTTGAATTTGAAAAAAATCGCATTTTATTTTTCACTAAAGAGGGGTTCAGTGAATGCGCATATGAAACTGGTGGGGTTCGGTACCTCCAACAAGGTTAAGGACCACTGTTCTAGTGTGAAATGTCCAAGATGCTTTATTTTCCACACCATCACTGACAAGTGCTGTAACTGCTTACTGTCACCAGGGGGCAGTCTCACAAACAACTGGCCAGCTTGTGCTGTTCTTTCAGAGAAGACTGAAGTTTGAACATACAAAGAGCTGAAGCAAAACAGAGCATTAGAGTGAAAAGTGTCCACTGCAGGCGGTCTGTGACTTTTCATGCTCTTTGTTTGATATTTGATGTGTTTTTTGCAGTCTTTCTTCTACATCACAGGTGGGGAACTCCAGGCCTCGAGGGCCAGTGTCCTGCAGGTTTTGGATGTGTCCTTGATCCAACACAGCTGATTTAAATGGGTAAAATACCTCCTCAACATGTCCTGAAGTTCTCCAGAAGCCTGGAATGAACTAATCATGTGATTCAGGTGTGTTGACCCAGGGTGAGATCTAAGACCTGCAGGACACCGGCCCCCGAGGTCTGGAGTTCGACACCCCTGTCCTACATTGTGAACTCCATTGTTAGTCCCTTACCACCTTTCCTGTTCTGGGTAATTGTTTAACCTATCAACATTCAGCATCTGCGTGGACCTACATGTGATTGGAGAACTCATCTGCATAGGTTAAAGCTTCATTCTGTGTAGTTGCAAACTGCAATAAGTATACACACATATAGTATCATAATCTCCCCATTTGACCTGAGATGAGCTGTGAGCAAATTTCACCAAAGAAGGATTATAATCTTTCTTCTTTGTATGATTCACAACTCAAGTGAGTTTTGTTGGCAGTAAATAAGAAGTCAACATTAATTAATATAACAGATCATGTCTAACTGTAACCAGTCTTGTAACTCCTGAGACGAGGCCCCCACATCCAGGTACAGTGTGGTCAAACTGATTGTACCAACAGAAAGAACAATACTCCCCTATTTTCCTAACATTAAACACATGGTTGGACAAAAGACCAAGACACAGAAGAGGTAACCAACTGTTAGAACGTCTGTGTTTGAGATGGAGTGACCATCCAAATGTAGGAAGATTAAAGTTAACAAACCAAACAAGGTTTTATTGGCCAATCCAAAAAGTCCAAAGAACAACGCTCCTCCTCATTTCTCAAACTGCACATCCTCAACTCTTCCTCTCAGCTCCTCACCTCCAGTTTTAGTCCCTACCACTAATGATGAGGGCAGAGGAGGTGAGGTAGAGAAACGAGGAGCTGAGGGAGCAGCATTTGACTAAATAAGACATCGCTGCCTCAGGGTCTCATTTAAAGAGTCTGTTAGATATGACATGTGGCACAGCTACAAAGTAAAGCCACGACAAGAGAAACGAGAAAACCTTCAAAGTGAAACAAAGAAACACTGAAAAACTAAATATCAACTCAGACATGCAGACGGACGGTAAATGTGATGATGACAGAGACGGGAAACACAAAGAAAGAACAGTGACAGCTCCTGAGAACAAGCTGGGAGTCATGAGAAGAAAATTGTTGTGAAATTTCCACACTAATGAATAAAATGTGTTTTTGGGAAAATCAAATTGCTATGTTTTATTTTATCTAGTTTGTGCATTTGGCTATGATGCTGCATCTGTTGGTGTTAAAATATCCCAGCATTATGACAAAGGTATTTCTGAGAAAAGCACAGTTCCTCTATAAAAGCTCTGCTATAAAAGACGCAGCACTGCATCCATTATCTGGGTAGGGGGTGCACCAATAAAACTGCAATAATATGAACTTTAATCTGCCTTTAATCCTCATCCTACTGACTGGGGTTCACATGGACACACAGGTATGTTTTTTCTTATGTCTCTCATTCTAATTTTTTGTCAGTCACTTTGCTCCTAATGGTACCACATGATTGTTTTCTGTACTTCTGCTTTAATTTGTTTGAGGTTTTTTATATGTTTTGCACTTTAAGAGGAACACATTAGCCTAAATGTCTCAGTCGAATATCAACTTACCAAGTAAGCTTTGAGAGGGAGCCCAAATTTGTAAGATAGCCGTTAGATTTATACAAATATAAATATTGATTAGCTTTAACATCAGCATGGCCTGTACTATTAGAACTCCAACATTCTGCAAATTACAACCCAAATGTAACAATGTAACACTGTGGAGCTCGAAGATGTGTTTTTATGCAGCAAATGTTACTGTAAGTA